GATTACATAGCCTGTAGTCTTACACTCTTTTCTAGTTATAAGTCAGTTCCAGACTCCTTTGTTTACCTTCCAAATAGAACTCAAGTGCCTGTTACACATATAGGAACAATACACTTAAGTTGTGGTTTAACCTTGCATGAAGTCCTTTTTGTCCCAAACTTTTCATTCAATCTGATTTCTGTAAGTAAACTCACCCACGATTACCCTTTCTCACTACACTTCCACTCTGATAAATGTGAAATCCAGGACCTCTTAAGCCAGAAGAAGATTGGTTTAGCCCACACAACTAGAGGACTATATCACCTTGCTTATCCTTCCAGCTCCACCAAGCCTTTCTTCCCTACACATCAAGCAGCCATCACCTACAACTTTCAACCCCAAGATCTGAACCTGTGGCACTGGAGACTAGGACATCCTAGTCATGATAGGATTTCTTTGCTTGATTCTGTAATTCCTTCAGTTTCTAAGTTCAAAACATTGCACTGTGATGTATGCCACTTATCCAAACAAAGAAAACTACCTTTCCCTGTTAGCACCAGTGTTGCACCAGCTGTTTTTCATCTTGTTCACATGGATATTTGGGGTCCTTTGTCGACTATTTCATATGATGGTTATTCCTACTTTTTGACTATTGTGGATGATCATTCAAGATGTGTATGGGTGTATTTAATGAAGCATAAGAGTGAAGTTAGGGGGCTAATCCATGGTTTCTGTAACCTGGTGAAAAATCAGTTTCAAACCTCAGTTAAAGTAATTCGAACTGATCAAGGTAAAGAGTTTGAGATGTGTGAGTTCTTTCAACAAGAGGGTATTGAACATCAAGTGTCTTGTGTTGAAACCCTTGAACAGAATGGCAGGGTTGAAAGAAAACACCAGCACATTCTGAATGTGGCTAGGTGTTTAAAATTCCAATCTGGTCTCCCTCTGGTCTATTGGAGTGATGTTGTTTTACATGTTGTATACCTAATTAATAGGATACCAACCCCTATCCTAGGTAACAGAACCCCTTATGAAGTGTTGCATAAGCAGGTGCCTTCTATGGGACACTTAAAAATGTGTGTACTGTTAGGTATACCTGCTGGGATCAAAGGTTACAAAGTTCTTGATCTACATGACAAGAAAGTCTTTTTCTCCAGGAATGTGTCCTTTTATGAGACCATTCTTCCCTTTAAGGGGAATACTACTCAGCCTTTACCTCTACATTATGATATCCCCTCCACCTCAAACCCTGTTCCTCACCCTGCACCATCACTCACAGTTCCTTTTCCCCTTAATCCTCCTACTCCCAGTTCAGCTACACCTCCCTCTCAGGTTCATTCATCCACAGATGAAGGGGCGCAAACCGAGCCTGAGGTGATACCTGAACCACTTCCTGATGGCACAGATGATTACACTTACTTTGATTCGGATACTTAGGAACTGCATCCACAAGCAGATGTTGATCCAAATGATCCTGTGACAGTTGAAAACAGAAAGTCTTCAAGACACCCTAACCTGCCAGCCAAATACAAAGATTACCATCTAGATCCTACACTGAAATTTGGAGCCTTTGGAAGTAGTCAATCATGCAGTAAATATCTTGTCTGTTTGAATGTTCACCTACTGACTAAAGAAGATCAAAAGTATGCTTTCAGTATCATGAATCTTATTGAACCAAGATCTTATTATGAGGCTATCAAGTCAGATGTGTGGAATAGAGCAATGAAAGAAGAAATGAATGCTCTAGAAGAGAATCAGACTTGGGATATAGTACCATTGCCTGCAGGTGTGAACGAAATTGGAAACAAATGGGTGTACAAGATCAAGCTACATGCAGATGGTTCTTTGGAAAGGAAAAAGGCCAGGCTAGTTGCTAAGGGATACACACAAGTCTATGGAGTTGACTTCCTAGAAACTTATTCCCCAGTAGCAAAGATTAACACAGTGAAGACCTTCCTGGCAGTTGCAAGTGTCAAACATTGGATTTTGGAGCAATTAGATGTATCCAATGCATTTTTGCATGGAGATCTAGATGAAGTAGTGTATATGAAACTGCCTCTGGGGTTAGAAGTGCCTTCAGGAACTAATCAAAGGATGACTTGCAGGTCGAAAAAGTCACTTTATGGACTTAAGCAAGCATCTAGGCAATGGTTTGCCAAGCTGACAAGTTTTTTGTTGAAGTTTGGTTTTGCACAGTCAGCTTCAGATTACTCACTCTTCACTAAGTGGACACATGGTAAGATAACTGTGTTGTTGGTTTATGTGAATGATATTATCCTGGGGGGAGATTCCAGAAAAGACATTGAGCAGGTAAAGCTTGCTCTGAGTAAGGAGTTTAAAATTAAGTTACTAGGACCACTCAAATACTTTCTGGGGTTAGAAGTCAGTAGAACTTCAAGTGGTCTAGATATTTGCCAAAGGAAGTATTGTTTGGAATTGTTGAAAGACACAGGGTACATGGAATCTAAAGAATTGTTGAAATCTTCTCCAGATCAAGGTATACATTTTGACAGTGAGGCTGAGCTAAGATTGACAGGTTATTGTGATTCTGACTGGGCAAGTTGCCCTGATACAAGGAGATCCATTACAGGCTACTGCACCATGCTTGGGACTTCTTTGATTACTTGGAAAACCAAGAAACAAACAACAGTTTCCAGGTCATCATCTGAAGCAGAATATAGAGCCTTAGCTCACCTGGTTTGTGAAGTGGAGTGGCTGAAGAAGTTATTGACAGAATTGTCAGTTCAAGTTCCTTTACCTATAACTGTTTACTGTGACAACAGGTCTGCAATTCACATAGCAGAGAATCATGTATTCCATGAGAGGACTAAGCATATTGAGATCGATATGCATGTGACAAGAGAAAGGCTGAAGACAGGACTGATCAAGTTGCAGCACATTAACACCACAGAATAGTTGGCAGACATTTTTACTAAGGGTCTTGATCATTTCAGGTTGAAGGAAATGTTAGTCAAGTTGGGGATCAAGTTGACACCACCAACTTGAGGGGGGATGTCAGAGTTGTGATCAAGACCAAGCTTCAAAGGAGAAGAAGTGAGTTGAGCTGTTGCATTCCTGGTTGCAGCAGGATTACAAGACTGAAGAAAACGTCATCGTATACAATCTGAAGAGATAGAAGAAGAGACGACTGCGTTTTGATAAAGACGCAGGAAGAAAGAGTCGAACACGACATCGTTTCCTTTATTAGTTATTAGCCGTTATAAGTACTGTTTGTTTAAATGTTTTGTCGAACCATTGGGTGACACATGTCTTGTCTCTGTTAAACACTCTGCTTGCTATAAAAGAAAAGAGGAGACTCAGAGTTTTTTGAGCTTCCTTCCCCAATCATTTCTGTAAAATCGTTACCTGAAGTGCCATTTCAGGCTGTGCGGCGTCGTTCCGCTGGGAGAAGGCGAGAAGTAAAGCAGGGGTATGGAAACGAAAGAAAAACCCTACCTTTTCTTCTCGATCGTATCTTTGTCTCCCGTTCCCGCAATCGCTATGTCTCCCACAGCCTCTCGATCGCATCGCCAGGCCAGGGTGTTTTCCCTTGATCGGTGGCGTGCTGCAGGCCGCCGGCGAGAGTCTTCTCCATTCAGCTTTCACAGCTTGGCCGCCCCTGCCTCTGCCTCGAGCTCCCTCAAGCAGGAAATAAAGAATCATGGCTGCATCTAGATGCTGACACATCCCCAGATGCCTTAGTGGAGAAGGTTCAAAAGATGGTTCAGCCATGGAGGAACTTGTATGTGGCGACGAAAGAGCCGTTCTATAATTACTTCGATAAGCTGAGGTCGGATTTTAAGGTGCATTTGCTAGATTATTACAAGGAGATGTGGGGGGAAACAAGGGAGTGGTAAACGAGACGAGGGAATTGCATGGTGGGATACTGAGGTGTTTTATAGGGGGGAAGACTGGGTTGAGACGTTCTATAATTTGATGAGTGATTGCAAGGACGGGACGTGATTAATACGTGCTGACTGAAACCAGATTCAATTCAAATAGCTTCTTCTAACACTTGAGTGTAGAATGATACCCTGTTGAATTATATAGGTGAGGCATTTTGTTCTTGTATTGATTCTGTTAGTTTTAACTACTTTTCATCATTTTAATAGTTTATTATAAGTGTGAATGTTAATATGTTGGTTATAGTTATAAAGAGAAATTATTATCGATATATAAACGTGGATACTCGAAATAACGGATATAAGAATGATTTTAATGGATATGCACTATCCGCCTCTCACCTGAAGCCTCTCACCTGATCCGTCGTCATCCCTAATTTTTATTAATCATTTTTTGTTTTGTCCGTTTGATAGAAATTAGGGATGCCAAAACTACTTTTCTGTCAAATGAACTCAAATCAATTTTATTTGAAAATTTTCAATCGATATAATTTTTGGGGGGTTTCTGTAAACTCAACAAAGAATGTATATTTTTTTTGAGTGATTTTGATAATTTAAGTTGGGTAAATACAATATATTAGTCACAACTATTATGAAGCGGGGAATTATAGCCACAACTATGGAAATTCAAATTGTTAGCCAAACATTAACTATGTGTTAACATTTTCGTTAGTAATACTGACTAAACTTTTATGTATTAAAGTTATAAATTAAAAGCATTCCGACGTGGTCGCTGCTGTGGCCGATAATGTGGTCGTCTCCATAAAAAATTCAATAACAGTAACGGACAGTTATCCATATCTTGACCCGCAACAATAGTTATGGCTAATAATTTGAATTTTCATAGTTGTGGATATATTTCCCCGCTTCATAATTGTTGTGGCTAATATATTGTATTTACCCATTTAAGTATTCCCTCTCAAACCAACGTACTCTTCCTTCACGTGGCGCTGGTGATGGGAATGACAGGGGGCAAGCTCGGGCTGCTGCTGCTGGGCCCATGGGCCGGTATGATTCGGTGGGCGCATTCCAGGGAAGGAGGATCCGGAGAAAGCCAAGTGGGACGATGCTGCTAGGTCTCTAGCGGCCTGTAAGGAGAAGGCCCATCCCGCCGCTGTTATGGAGAAGGCCCATAGGCGTAGGCTCATACTTTCTGAGTCGGAGTATGAGAAGCCCATTGTCGACCCCCCAAAGCTGAAAAAGGGAAAAGTGGTGATGGGAGGAAGGAAGAGGCTGGTGAAGGTGGCTACTAAAGCTGTGATAACCGAGGGTATAACTGTGGTTCGGCCAAATAACAGTCCACCATCTCCTGGACAAATTGAACCGCAGCAGGTTGGCCATGATAAGCAACAAGGTCGGGCTGTGGCGAGGAGGAAGCATAAGCTCCGAGTCTCGGAGGTGCTGGTGCTGACGGTTGGGGAAGGGACGAGTACCTTGACAATTAAGGAAAGTTCCCCTCCTTGTCATTCTACTGATGGTGCGATGGGAATGACACCCTCCAGTGCTTTGGTGAACTCGACAGCATCCCTGTCGGAGGAAGAGGACAACTCCTTTGAGATTAAAAGTCGGGCCCCTGCATGTGACATGGAAAATTCTCGCTCCATACATGGGCGCGTCTAGCAGGTTGTAGCGGCTTTTGAGTCGGTGGTGCTGATTAATGATGATGAGGAGACTAGCTATATGAAACGAGTGGATGCGGCAGATGGGGGTGGTGACGGGGAAGCCTATGGGTTGGAGGAGAGGAATGACCCTGTGTTAGATGAATATGATACGAATCTCCAGCTACCAGCCCTGGCATGCCATGAGCGCTCTTTTAAGGAATTGGATGGGGAAGTGGGGGAGGACCCTTCTCCGAAAAAGCAATTTGTGGAGGATATTTCTGAAAAGGTGGAGGAAGCCAGCCGAAAATGGCCCCAGGCAGATAAATGAGCCTTCTCGCCTGGAACGTGCGTGAGATTGGGCCCTCCCTCACATTCCAAACTGCTATTGGGTTAATGCATTCCAATAAACCGGACCTTGTGTTCTTTTCTTAAACAAGATCGTGCCTGAGAGTAGTTTCCCGTCGTATGCGGGGGTTAGGTTTTGATATTTCTCATTGTTTTTTTGTTGACGCAGTCAGTTCGTCTGGTGATCTAGTTCTTGCTTGGGCCCCCGAGGATAATGTCTCGGTTTTTTTCATTCCAACTTCTGTATTTGTGTGCGAATTAATGAAGTGGATTTTCTTACGTTGTGGTGTTTGTGTACATTAGTTGTTCTGCTGCAATAAGAGCTACACAATTAACTCATTTTCAATACATTTGTTCCAATTTTCAATTGCCTTTTGTGGTTATTGGAGACTTTAATACTACTCCATGAGAGTGAGAAGGATGGGGGAAATCCCTGGAATGCGGGTCAGGCTATTAGCCTTCGAGATTTTATCCACGATTGTGGGCTTCATGACCCGGGATTCCAGGAAGACCATTTCACTTGGACTAATAAGCGTATGGGCACAGCTTGTGTTCGTGAAAGGTTGGATAGGGCCCTTTGCTCCCAACAATGGATGGACCAGTTTCTGGACACTCTGGTAAAGCATTTTACGGATCAGGGCTCGGATCATCAGGCTCTTCTTCTGTCTGATAAGCCCTATGTCCGTAATAGCGTCCTCTTTTCCGGTTCGATGCTCGTTGGGAGGATAATCCCGAGGTTAGGGCAATGGTTCAATATGTTTGGGAGGAACCGGCTCATGGAACTCCTATTTTTAGACTGTGGGAGAGGCTGAAAAGGCTTTGCCATCTATTTATGATTGGAGTAGAGTTGGCACCACTAATTCCCTCCGGAATATCAAAACGCTCCAAGTTGAAATTGATCGCATCAAGTCTATTCATCCAATTGACTGGGAAGAGGTGAAGACCCTCGAACTGGAGCTAAGCAGACAGTGGGAGGCCGAGGAAATTTACTGGCAGCAAAAATTGCGAGTTAAACGGCTGAAAAAGGGTGATAAGAATTCCTCATATTTTCATACGGTCACGAGGGCTCGTCGAAAAAGAAATTTTGTGACTATACTCCAGAATGAGAACGGGGAGTGGATATCTGATGAGAAGGGGAAAGCAGACATTGCTAACTCCTTTTATCATAATCTCTTCACATCTGAGAACCAAGTTCAAGACATGGGGAATAGGGTGGGTGACCTCCCTATTGCCCACTGTGTGACTCTATAGATGAACGCTACTCTTACCGCTGAGGTCCTTCCGGCTGAGGTTAGGAGTACCGTCTTTTCTATGGGGTCAAAACAAGCACCAGGCTCTGATGGATTCACGGGGAAATTCTTTAAGGCCTTTGGGGATATTGTAGTGACTCGGTTGTTGAAGCTGTCACATCTTTCTTTAGAACAAGCCGGATGTTGCGAAGCTTCAATCATACTTGGTTAACTCTGATCCCTAAGGTGGACAATGTGGAAAATATAAAGTAACTGCGCCCGATTAGTCTATGACAGTTTGTGTATAAGATTATTACCAAGATCATGGCAGAAAGACTAGCAGGGTTCTTACCTGATATTATCTCGGAAGGCCAGAATGCTTTCATTCAGGAAAGGCATATAGTTGATAATATTCTCCTTGGTCACGAGTTAATGCACTATCTTAAAATCAAAACCAGGGGGAAGAAAGGATACATGGCTCTAAAGGTTGACATGGAAAACGCCTATGATAGAGTTGAATGGCCCTTCCTACTGGTGGTTTTGGAAAAGATGGGGTTTGACGCCAGGTGGCCAGGTTGGATACACGAATGCCTCCAATCCGCCTCTTTTTCTGTTATGATGAATTGTACTCCTTCAGGCTATTTCACGGCTACCCGCGGAATCCGTCAGGGTGACCCCTTATCCCCTCTCTTGTTTGTGATTTGCTCGGAGAGATTTGCGGCTTTGCTCAAAAAGGCAATTTTGGCTGGCAAACTCAAGGGGGTGAAGGTAGCTCCCCGCGCTCCTCCAAGAATGCGAGAATCTCATAGAGGTGTTGAATGAATACGAGGAGTTGAGCGGTCAATGGGTGAACCTGGGAAATCTGTGGTATGCTTTAGCAAGAACATTACTGTACCTGACCAAGAGTTTCTTGCTAAGATTTTGGGTGTGGGAGCGGTTGGGGTCCATGATAACTACCCTGGCCTCCCAACCTTGATTGCTCTATCTAAAAAAGTTACTTTCCTCTATATTGAGGAAAAATTGCTAGCTCTCTTACAAGGAACGAAGCAAAAAACACTTTCGTGGGCGACTAAGGAGACCTTGATTAAGTCAATTGCGCTAGCCATGCCTTTGCATATAATGTCTTGTTTTAAGCTACCACTCTCCCAGTGCCGTCTACTGGATAAACATGTGGCCCGGTTCTGGTGAGGTGACGGGGAAGACCGCCAGAGGATCCTTTAGATATCTTGGAGGATCATGTGCCAGAGCAAGCATGATGGGGGAATGGGGTTTTGGCGGTTTGAGCATTTCAATCAAGCATTGTTGGCCAAGGTAGGGTGGTGTATCCTCACCGAGCCTGAGTCCATGTTAGCCCAAGTCTATAAGGGGAAGTACTATCCCAGGGGGGACTTCCTGTCAGCTGCCCGGTCCCTCTTGGGGGTGGCAGAGTATTCTCTATGGGTGGCAATTGTTAGATATGGGTCTGCAATGGCAGATTGGGAATGGTCACACGGATTCTCTTCTCAAGTCCAATTGGGTCTCGCTGTTGCACCCTTTTCTTCCAATTTATAACCCACATGCCGGCGGGGGGATCCCAAATTTGCAAAGGTCAACTGTCTAGGGGGAGGGCGGTGGTGTGACATCAAACTCAGTCAATGGTTTGACCCACCCACGTGTCAAGCTATAAAAGCAATCCCTCTCCCCCGCCATGATGTTCCGGATAAACTAATCTGGCATGCAACAAGTGATGGGGTCTTTACTGTTAAAACTGCCTACCATTTTGTTGTGCTCCTGGATAAAAAGGCTGGAAATTGGCGATCCATGGTTAGTTGGCTAGACCGGCCGAGTTGGATTCGTATGTGGGAGGCTAATATCCTGCCTAAGCTTAAGGTCTTTGTTTGGCAAATTTTCTCTCGAATTTTGCCTAGTATAGAGGCCTTGCGGGAGAAAAAGGTCTCGGTACTCCCCCGGTGCCCGGTATGCTGGGTTGGAGTATCTGGGACAAGGCCTTCCGCGACATACTTTTCCACTCTTTCTAAAGAGAGATGGCGTTAATCCATCAGCTCTCGTTGTTTCTGAAAGTGGTCATGGTACTCTGGCGAATCTGGCGCTCTCGTAACTGGGTGGTCTTTGAGGGTAAACAGTTTGGGTTCCTGGCCTTAATGAGGCATCTTAACCAGCAGTACGAAGAGTGGATTCGGTTGCCGAAGGACCGTGAGGCCAACTCAGCTCTGCCAAGGGTGCATCAGTTAAATCTGGCAGGGACACAGACAATGGTTTGTATGTGGGATGGGGCGACGAGGAGGGGTTCGCATTCAGCTGGTGGGATGGTTATTATGAATCATGCCCGGGAGATCATTTTTGCTAATGGGTTCCAGTTCAGCATCATAGATGACCCCTTGGTGGTTGAAGTTCTGCCCTCCGTGAGGCGGTTATTTGGTGTCGGGATCATGGATTCACGGAGGTTCGGTTTGAAGGGGATGCTAAAGTGGTCATTGATAAGATCCTGCTAGCTGATGCCAAGGATAACCGGATGGGAGCGATTCTTCAAGAGGTCTTTCAGTGCTTTGCCTTTTATCCGGGGTTTAGTGTGCGATTTGTAGGTCGACATAACAATAGGGTAGCCCACTTGGTGGCTCGAAAAGCCCTCTCTTTGTATCCGGCTATGAGTCGTGTGTTTGATTATCAGACCTGGTTGAATTCCAGGATGTAACTACCATTCTTTCCAATCAATATAAGATTATCTTTTGTAAGAAAAAAACCAATGTACTATTTACTATAAATGTGCTATACATTCCGTCACTTCAGCATTTAGAGAACTCATATTTATAAGATTTATTTTATATTTTAGATTTCATATTATAAATTTTTTTACGAGGAGTATTACTATTTAATCGTGGTTCAATGCTGATATACAAAATAATTATTATATAGTTTGATCAAAATAAATTTCTACTCCTTTATGATTTTGTATTTTGTTGTCTCAATTCAAATTATATTGTTATATGATTAGACGATATCAGCCGAACATCTAAATAATATAATTGATTTTGTTTATAATGATTTTATTTTCTATTCCATACACTCATCTTTTTTGGTGCATGCTATGCACTCACCTCATAATCATCATTCTTAATAGATGATTAATGTCAAAATGATGTCAGTAGTCACTTATGAAATAATGGACAAGAAAAATGCATGAATATTCATTAAATAATTCAAGATTTACTTTGATTTGAAGGATTTATGATTTATAAATTTAGGGTTAGGATTACAATTTGAGATGTAATCAAAATTGAAGGTTTATGACTTAGGGTAATGCAATGACTACTCGTGATTCTATGTTATATCATCATATTAGACAAATGCTACCAATTAAAATTTAAAATTTAATGACTTAAGACTACTTTTAAAATTGAACGCATAGTATGCACTTATTTTTAAAATACGTCATAGAAGCCCCCTT